ACACCTGTTGGCAACAACGTTGGTCTACTATGCTCGGCAACAAACTTCAATCTATTAAACCGAGTATAGGTTACTGGCCGTCTTATCACCAGTGTCGAGGTTGGGAGACTACTCTCTCCCGTCTTCGCATTGGCCATACTCGTCTTACTCATGGATATCTCATGGAGAGGCGTCTTGCTCCTTTCTGTGAGAATTGCCAAGCTCCATTATCAGTCAGCCACATTCTGTTGGACTGCCCACTTTATCAACGAGCACGCAGAATTTACCTCTGTCGTCGTCTTCGCTCCGCTGTTCTCTCTTTACCCTTTCCCCTTTTCGCTGATGGACCCACCTTTCATCCGGACTCTCTCACTGACTTTTTGACAACAACTGACTTACTTCACAAATTCTGATACCTTCAGCCCTTTCTACTTCAATCTCTTGCTACCCTGTACCCCCGTACTATCCCCTGCCCCGCTGTTTTCTGTAACCTGCTCATCATCCCTCCTCCCTTCTGCCATCCAATACCCTCGCTTCCTTCCCTACCCTGCAGCGCTGTATAGCCCTTGTGGCTTAGCGCTTTTTGATATAATAATAATAATAATTTACGCCCAAATGCTTCGTTAGTCGAAGCATTTGGTTAGTTGGTCGGGGGTCCACTGTAATAATATTAAAAAAGAGCAATAAGTACTCTACTGTATACCAAATATATTATGTACTGTAAATGCAGTTCACAAATATACTTCAATAAACATTGAAAATGAAGGAGTTGAAAGCACAATTTAACCACGGGGTTTTGTCCATAATTTTAAAACCCATCATACTGATGTGCATTATATTGAAAGCTTAATATACTTACCCTCTTTCTTGGGTCAAATCTGATTCTTTTAATTTTCCTGGACACTATGACCCCTACAAGTTTAGTGCTTCTTGTGAATGTTATAATATTCAACAAGCTGATGACTGCGAGACAGTGAAGCCATCCTGACCTCTCTTTCCCATCTTGACCTCTCTTCTGCTTCTGTCCCATCCTTCAGGCCTCCACCCTGCTGCCATCTTTCCCTTAACCCTTTGAGGGTTTCGGCTGTACTAGTATGGCTTACGACCCAGGGTTTTTGATGTACTAGTACGCCTAAATTCTAGCGCCCTCAAATCTAGTGGGAGAAAGCTGGTAGGTCTACATATGAAAGAATGGGTCTATGTGGCCAGTGTGCACAGTATAAAAAAAATCCTGCAGCACACAGTGCATAATGAGAAAAAAAAAACTTTTACCGTTTTTTTGGAATAAAACAGCGACTTTGCACTGTATTTTCGTATAGTATTTATTGTTGTATTCTAGTTTTCTTGGTCTCATTTTATAGAAAGGAAGACATATTACAGAAATTGAGATGATTTTGATTGGTTTTACAATGAAAAGTATCTTGAAATTGAACTCAAAGTAGCAGAAATGTTTGATTTTTACCAAAGTTCAAAAGTAAACAAATCATGCCAAGTGTTCAATACACGTCAACTGGTGAGTCTAATATTCTTTCGCAAGTGCGCCAGTATTATTTATACCATATTTTACACTAATGCAGTAGTCTGCATAACAGTAAATCTTCAATTTTTTTGTGAGAATGAAAATTCAAAGTGGAAAGCAAAAGAATGTAAGAGGGGCCTTGAGACGTGACTAATGAACAGAGGAAATGTCATTTTAGTGCCAGGGATGTCTTTCTTATTTATTCTGGACCCTATTCAGAAATTGGCATTATTATTATTCTAATCAAAAAGAAGCGCTAAGCCACAAGGGCTATACAGCGCATCGGAAATTGGCATCTTTTGAAATTTGTGTGAAATGGGCAAAATTGCTAAATTCTGACCACTGTACTGGATAGTTGAAATTGGTAAATGGGTGGTTTCTTGCACTCATTCGATAGAAAAAATGGAGTTCTAGTGAAATATTCATGTTTTTTGTTGACTAGTACAGTGGAATTGGCCGAAAATGGGGCTCAAAGTGGGCAAAATCGTCGATGCGTAAACATCGCCGAGACCGCTAACTTCGCGAGAGCATAATTCCGTAAGTTTTCCATCAAATTTCATACTTTTGGTGTCATTATGATCGGGAAAAGATTCTCTATCTTTTCATAAGAAAAAATTATTATTTTTTTTTTAAATTTGGCCGACCCTGAGAACGAGTCTCGGAGAGGGCCTGTCGACCCTCAAAGGGTTAACTGACAAGTTTTGGTTCAAGCCAATCCTGACCAATGTAATTATTAAATCTTCAGTCATTTATCACTACCAATTAACCCTTTCAGGGTTTCTGACGTACTAGTACGGCTTATGCACCAGGGTTTTTGACATATTAGTACGCCTAAATTCTAGCGCCCTCAAATCTAGTGAGAAAGCTGGTTGGCCTACATATGAAAGAATGGGTCTATGTAGTCAGTGTGCAGAGTATAAAAAAATCCTGCAGAACACAGTGCGTAATGAGAAAAAAAAAACTTTGACAGTGTTTTTGGTTTAAAACAGCAACTTTGTACTGTATTTTCGTATGGTATTTATGATGGTATTCTAGTTTTCCTGGTCTCATTTCATAGAATGGAAGACATATTACAAAAATTGAGACGATTTTGATTGGTTTTACAATGAAAAGTACCTTGAAATTGAGCTCAAAGTAGCAGAAATGTTCGATTTTTGCCAAAGTTCAAAAGTAAACAAATCATGCCACGCGTCCAATACATGTCAACTGGTGAGTCTAATATTCTTTCACAAGTGCGCTGATATTGTTTATACCATTTTTACACTAATGCAGTAGTCTGCATAACAGTAAGTCTTCTATTTTTTGTGAGAATAAAAATTCAAAGTGGAAAGCAAAAGAATGTAAGAGGGGCCTTGAGACATGACTAATGAACAGAGGAAGTGTTATTTTAGTGCCAGGAATGTCTTTCTTGTTTATCCTGGACCCTATTTTGAAATTGGCATCTTTTGAAATTTGTGAAATTGGCAAAATTGCTAAATTCTGACCACTTTATTGGATAGTTGATATCGGTAAATGGGTGGTTTCTTGTACTCATTAGATAAAAAATATGGAGTTATAGCGAAATAGTTATGATTTTTGTCAACTAGTACGCTGGAATTGGCTGAAAATAGGGCTCAAAGTGGGCAAAATCGCCGATGCGTAAACATCGTTGAGACTGCTAACTTCACGAGAGCATAATTCCGTAAGTTTTCCATCAAATTTCATACTTTTGGTGTTATTATGATCGGGAAAAGATTCTCTATCTTTTCATAAGTTTTTTTTTTTTTTTTTTTTTTTTTTTTTTTTTTTTTTTTTTTTTTTTTTTTGAAAATTTGTCGAACCCAGAACAGCCTGTCGACCCTGAAAGGGGTTAAGCAAGAAATCCGCACATGAATAAAATAACGTTACACAGTCTATCAGTTTGACCAGGTGTGGGTTCCATTCTGGTGCTGCATACTCAATGATTGGCCTAACATATGTCATAATATAAAATTTTGAAAGATTGTTTGTTCAGGTTCCTGAATGCTGTTCTGATGTTTACTAATCTTGCATATGTCTCTGATGTTATGTAGTTTACTTGTAATTCTGGCAATATGCTTGGTGTTTTATATATCCTCAGGTTCTTATCCCTCTGATGTTTGCCCATACTGTAATGTGTCCGATATGCTTTCGCCTAGAAATTGCATGACTTTGCAGTTATTTGAATTAAATTTGAGTAGCCACTTGTTTGACCCATCTGAGGCCTCCCTTGATTTTATGATTATCCGCTCCCATTCTTATTCTTTTCGTTAGTTTTACATCATTTTCAAACAGCGACACTTGCGTAGTTTGTTCTTATATGTTAGGAACAGTAGTAGTCCTAACACTGATCCTTGTGGAACTCCACTCATTACTCTCTCATTCAGATGCCTTGTACCTTACTCTGTCTTCTCTCATTCAAGTACACCTTGACCTGCTAGAGCACTGCCATTAACCTTGTCTGTTGCTGATTTATTGATCAGTCTCTGGTGTAATCCTGTATCAAATACTTTCTTGCAGTCTGAAAAAATGCAGTTCATTAAACTTTGTCTCTTTTTTGTTTTATCTATGTGACTATGTCATAGAACTCCAGCAGATTTATAAGACAGGCTTTTCCATCTCTGAATCTGTGCCAGTTTTCTATAAAGATTCAAGTTTTTTTTTTTTTGTGTGTGTGTGTGTGTGTGTGCACATAGGCATATGCACGTGCGTGCATGCACATGCTTGTTTGTGTGTGCGTGTGTGTTTTCAATAAGAGCTACAAAAGCATAGCACTTTTTCCCATGATTTGCATCTTAATAATCTGGGATGAGCCATAGGCTTCACTCAGGTTATGATCACAGAAGATCTCCAGTTTACAAACAAGTTACATTCTTGGCATCTCATTGTATAAACCAGGTGTTTGTATAAAAAACAGTAGTACAAAAATTGGTGATGCCTCGCCTGTGTTGGTAGTACAGGTCGGCAGTTGTAAAAATGTAATTGGATTTTAAGTGATCCATTTGTAAGTGCATTTGTTTGCAACTTGAGTTGTTTGTAAGTTAGGACTTCCTATTTTGTTGAAAATGGTTTGTATATTTCCTAAGTCCAAAGTTAGTTGTATGTTCAGTACTTAGTAGGCATTACTGCCTTCTAATTTTTGTCTGAGACTGGATAGGATCCGGGTCTGTCTATGGTCGGTAATGTACACTTGCCATTGCTTAAGATACTTAAGACTTGTGATAAGTTGTGGATTGGCTGGTGTAATCATGTGACCTCATCCAATTAAGTCCGTCATTCTAGGTTCTATATTAACCTCGCCTGCATAATATCCATCTTGCTTAATGTGAACTTTTTCTTGAATGATCTTTATTGCTGCTGCCTCAGCATGTGTGGGTGATTGACACTACTCATTAATATTTCTTAATGCTGCCACAAATATGTTAGTTACTTTGCAACTGCACAATACTGCTATTGGATAATAGAATAATTTGCTTGACATTTAATTTGTGTATGATCTCTGCAGGTTGTGAGTTCTACAAATGGGGAGCTTGGTCCAGATGACCCATTAGCTGGCCACTCCAATACACCCATCACTGTCCACCAAGAAGGAGATACTTCAGATGAAACTAAGTAAGTTTACTACTGTATTTTCAGGTCTTACTATAATGTTGTATTAGAATCAAGTCTGCTGACCCTTCTAAAATAGTATTTACATTGTGTGATGCTAAACAACCTAGTGGAATATTATTAGAGAGGTTTTATTAGTCTTCAGATTAGCCCTTTGAGGCTTGAGACCGCTGCTCGCAAACTTGCTCCCAGGGTTGAAGAATTAAAAAAAAAATTTTTTTTTTATGAAATGATTGAGAATTTGTTTCCAACGGTAATGAAACCAAAAGCACAAAATTTGAGGGAAAACTTATGGAATTACGCTCTCATGAAGTTAGCAGTCTCGTTGATATTTATGCATCAGCATTTTTGCCCACTATTTTGGGCCAATTCCATTGTTTCAGGTGACCAAACTCATAGCTGTTTAGCTAGAACTGCTTTTATTCTATCAATTGAGTACAAGAAACTGCCCATTTATCTATTTCAACTCTCCAATAAAGTGATCAGAAATTACTAATTTGGCTAATTTCACACAAAATTCAAAAAAGGCCAATTTCCAAATAGGGTCCAGAATAAACAATACAGACATTCCTGGCACTAAAACAACATTTTCTCTGTTCATTAATCGTGTCTCTAGGCCCTTCTTGTATTATGCTTGCTTTTAATTTTTAATTTTTATTCACACAAAAAGTAGAAGATTTACTGTTATTCAGACTACTGCATAATGGTAATAACTGTATAATTAATGTCGATACATTCGTGAGGTTAAGAGAGTGGTGAAGCAGTGTAAAAAGAGAGCAAATGAGAGAGTGGGTGAGATGTTATCAACAAATTTTGTTGAAAATAAGAAAAAGTTTTGGAGTGAGATTAACAAGTTAAGGAAGCCGAGAGAACAAATGGATTTGTCAGTTAAAAATAGGAGAGGAGAGTTATTAATGGAGAGTTAGAGGTATTGGGAAGATGGAGGGAATATTTTGAGGAATTGTTAAATGTTGATGAAGATAGGGAAGCTGTCATTTTGTGTATAGGGCAAGGAGGAATAACATCTTCTAGGAGTGAGGAAGAGCCAGTTGTGAGTGTGGGGGAAGTTTGAGAGGCAGTAGGTAAAATGAAAGGGGGTAAGGCAGCTGGGATTGATGGGATGAAGATAGAAATGTTAAAAGCAGGTGGGGATATAGTTTTGGAGTGGTTGGTGCAATTATTTAATAAATGTATGGAAGAGGGTAAGGTACCTAGGTATTGGCAGAGAGCATGCATAGTTCCTTTGTATAAAGGCAAAGGGGACAAAAGAGAGTGCAAAAATTATAGGGGGATAAGTCTGTTGAGTATACCTGGTAAAGTGTATGGTAGAGTTATTATTGAAAGAATTAAGAGTAAGACAGAGAATAGGATAGCAGATGAACAAGGAGGCTTTAGGAAAGGAAGGGGGTGTTTGGACCAGGTGTTTACAGTGAAACATATAAGTGAACAGTATTTAGATAAGGCTAAAGAGGCTTTTGTGGCATTTATGGATTTGGAAAAGGCGTATGACAGGGTGGATATGGGGGCAATGTGGCAGATGTTGCAGGTGTATGGTGTAGGAGGTAGGTTACTGAAAGCAGGGAAGAGTTTTTACGAGGATAGTGAGGCTCAAGTTAGAGTATGTAGGAAAGAGGGAGATTATTTCCCAGTAAAAGTGGGCCTTAGGCAAGGATGTGTGATGTCACCGTGGTTGTTTAATATATTTATAGACGAGGTTGTAAGAGAAGTAAATGTGAGGGTCTTGGCAAGAGGCGTGGAGTTAAAAGATAAAGAATCACACACAAAGTGGGAGTTGTCACAGTTGCTCTTTGCTGATGACACTGTGCTCTTGGGAGATTATGAAGAGAAGTTGCAGAGGTTGGTGGATGAATTTGGTAGGGTATGCAAAAGAAGAAAATTAAAAGTGAATACAGGAAAGAGTAAGGTTATGAGGATAACAAAAAGATTAGGTGATGAAAGATTGGATATTAGATTGGAGGGAGAGTGTATGGAGGAGGTGAATGTATTCAGATATTTGGGAGTGGACATGTCAGCGGATGGGTCTATGAAAGATGAAATGAATCATAGAATTGATGAGGGGAAAAGGGTGAGTGGCAATGTGTGGTCTGAATATAATGCAGAGAATTCGTAGTTTGGAAGTTAGGAGGAGGTGCAGGATTACCAAAACTGTTGTCCAGAGGGCTGAGGAAGGGTTGTTGAGGTGGTTCGGACATGTAGAGAGAATGGAGCGAAACAGAATGACTTCAAGAGTGTATCAGTCTAGTGGAAGGAAAGCATGGTAGGGGTCGGCCTAGGAAAGGTTGGAGGGAGGGGGTAAAGGAGGTTTTGTGTGTGAGGGGCTTGGACTTCCAGCAGGCATGCGTGAGCGTGTTTGATAGGAGTGAATGGAGACAAATGGTTTTTAATACTTGACGTGCTGTTGGAGTTTGTGCAAAGTAATATTTATGAAGGGATTCAGGGAAACCGGCAGGCTGGACTTGAGTCCTGGAGATGGGAAGTACAGTGCCTGCACTCTGAAGGAGGGGTGTTAATGTTGCAGTTTAAAAACTGTAGTGTAAAGCACCCTTCTGGCAAGACAGTGATGGAGTGAATGATGGTGAAAGTTTTTCTTTTTCGGGCCACCCTGCCTTGGTGGGAATCGGCCAGTGTGTTAATAAAAAAATAATAACATTCGTGAATGCATGTTAGATCGGCCATTTGACGTGCATTGGATGTGTGACGTGATTTGTAAAAGTTTACACTTGAAAATCGGAAAAAATCGAGCATTTCCGTTACTTTGAGCTCAATTTCAAGCTACTTCTAGTCTGTAAACCATTCATAATCTTTCTATAACATTTCTTCTGTTCAGTCACACGAGACCAAAAATCTGAGTATACAATCGTGAAAACCATACAGGAATACACCGCAAAGTTGCTGTTTTACACCAAAAACACAGTTGCCATTTTTTTTTCTCATGCACTGCATGCTGCAGGATTATTTTTTTTTTTACACTGCACACACTGACCATGCAGACCCATTCTCTCATATGTAGGCCTACCAGTTTTCTCCCACAAGATTGAAAGCCATTAGAATTTTGGCTAGTTTTACGGGACCAACCCTGGCGTCAGAGCCGTAATATTATTGACTGACCCCAAAAGGGTTAAGCATCCTCTTTGAGGGTGATGGACTGATTATATTGTCTTTACATCTCTATTGCTTCTGGTGCTTCTTCTGTATTCCACTGAAGAAGCCTAGTGTGTAAGTGAAATGTTTTGCAATAAAGATACCTGTTTCACACATGTCTTATCAACTTTCTCTGTATGAAAGTTTGAGTAAGCAATATAATAACTTCATTGTAATCATATTTTCAGATGTTGCTGCTTCTTCAAAAGAAAGAAGAAGAAGGCTGGACGTGGCAAATGACTGGCGGTGGTGCAGTGCTCACCAGAAAGAGAAGCCATTGCGGTGCTGCTGCCAGCATCACAGTCGCAGTCTAATGAGAGTATCCTCAACCCTCAGGCACCACCAGCAATAGGAGGACACCCAGCCATCCCCCACAAGCACTAATCACTTCACCATTACCTCATCACCACCAGCAGCACTGCATCTCCTCTTGAATCGAGTACCTGCCTACTAGATGGGTAGTCCATCCTTGTGCCTGCATATTTGTCTTGTGTGAAAATATGTTCATCCCATCTCCCACATTTTATACAGTACTCTTATGCCTGTGTTAAGAGCTTTTTTATATCATACCATGACTAAATTACATGGCTTAGAAACTGGCCAGATGAATGTGATTTTTTTTTTATATTTTGCTGTGCACACTAAGGAGTGCTGTTAGATGATGGTTTGCCAAAACCAATATAATTTTGGACAACCTCTTTTGCAAATGTGTGGCAGGGATTTATGGATAAATTATTTTAAGCCCCTTGATTATGATAGACACAGTTTAATTTAATGTTGAAAGGAGAATGTGCAATACAAATATACTCAGTCCCAAATATTATTTGGTAATTACTGCCAGAATTTTTTTTTATTTCCTCTCTGACACAGAGGAACATTTTAGCAGCAGACTGGATTGGAAGAATGCTGAGGTGGTGGTGGTGGTGGTGGCAGCAAGAGAAATTAGAAGTTTTACTTCCAGGAAGTGCTTATCAAGAGTGGATTGACGCCCTCCTACTCCCTGGGACCTTTCTAAGGCCTACCTAGCCTGTCATTGTGATGAAAGCAGTCATTTTTGGTTCCTGTGACCATTCAGCTAGTTTCATTTCCCTATTTATAATAAAGATAAGGAGGCTTATTGAAATGTCATATGAAGTGAAAATGACTGATGGAGTCGCATTTGTTCTGTGATTACTTAACAAGACGAGTTCACTCGCTCGTTTGCTCCATCAACCAAAAAAGTGAATGGACTTTTGTGCTTTGATGAAACATTCTTTATTCGCCAAATGACCAATTGATTTTTTTCTGTGTATTTAGTCGCCTTTGGGAAGTACTAATGTTTACATACTCTGGGACGACACTAGTTTAGATGTAGTTTGGTGGAAGCAAGTCATGACCAGTGCAAAAGGGGCATTTTTGCATCCCTGTGTTGGTACCAAACTGGCACCCAATGGCATAGCTATTTAATTTTAATATTATTTTACCTAGGTACCATAATAAAAATGTTTTATTTGCTTAATGCCCAACAAACAAGAGATGATTCTCATTGGTGATGGAAGTTGACTGAGAAATAGTGAAAGCAGAGGAGGAGACCTTAATTACAAGAATGGAATAGGAGCTGTTTGATGCTAGGAAAAGTGGATTTTGATCAGTGGATATTCCCAAGTGCCAAACAGGCAGGCAAGAAAAACATTTGAAAGACACATGACAAATATTGCTTAATGAAGGGATCAGTGGAGCAGGAGTCATGTTGCATGTGGGGATGGCATTGTGCATACCACAGGTTGAAATTGTTTATATTCAGTGGCAAGCATTGAAACAATAAACAAATGTGTAATCTTATATTATTATATATATATGCATATATAATATATATATAATATATATTTTATATATATATATATTATATATATATATATATATTATATATATATACATGTACTACTATATATATGTATACTGTATATACAGTATACGCAGTATGTTAGTGAGTGTTAACATTGATGCCCTTGTGCTCATCGTTGGAGAAAAATGAAGGGAAAAATTAAATTAGGAGGTATAAAGACATTGCACTAGCTGGTGAGTAAGCCAAAGTTTTGGAGAATAATCAAAGGATAATACAAAATTGACAAAAAATGGTGGCAGTAATCACACACCTCTTGCCATTGAAATTATGGGATCAAAGGTTGAGGTGTGACCCTAATTTAACAGGCTTTTGAACATTATTGGTAACCTGTGCAGTTAGAAGAGTTGGACACGAGTGATAAGTGAACATGTAAAGTGAAAGGCAAGCATGGAATGACACTTGTCTTTCATAGTCTTGGCAACAGTTCATCACCAAATTTGTGCTACACCACGATCTCGTCCCCCAGGGCTTTTGTTAGGAGGGACTTGTTACAGGGAGGTTCTTGTAGCGAAGTCCAGAGTACCTTTCAGAAGTATATCAATGTCATGTGGAAGGATACAACTTCCAATATTATTTTTATGCCTGTAGCTGTTCATCAGAACATGTGATGTAATAAGTGACTATAAGCTGCATATAGCTCTTTGAACTAAGTGCTACATCTTGATTCTCCTCATATTTACACCCTTGGAAGATTTTTTTCATATTAAATTATTCCTTGTACTCGCTAATCCCATCACATAGTCTGCCAACCCTCATCCCACTTTATTTATTTTTTATTTGCCCCTCAAGAATTACTTTAAAATAATTTTCCTATAAAGAAATATTTTTTTCATTGATTTCTGTTCATGTGTAGTCACACCTAATATTCCTCTGAGGTCCTCCTCAATGTTTTCCTAGTGGTCACTTCAGCTAATTGGACTTGCCTACAGATGGTCATATTCTTGCTCACATTTTATGGTTATAGTGAGAAAAGTCTTCTATATAAAGCTTTTAGAAACCACATACGGGAAACCAGCAGTCAGGGAGGAATAGAATATAAATGTTATGATTGCATCATGTTCCATTGCTGAAGCCATTTTATTCTGTCCAGTTTTGTAGGTAAACAATTTGAACTCTTGTTGATGAGCTGTTAGACGTAGTGACCTGGTCCACAGAGAAGTAAGTACAAGGCCAACAATAAGAAAAGTTTAGGAATTATACTGCCTTCCTTCACACTGGTGTTGATGCAGTCTGCAGCAAATGTGATGACTTGTATGTACTTTGAAGTTGTGAGCAATTTTTAATGTAGATACAAAAGCTCTCTTTCATAAATGTACTTTAAGCACATGGTGCAGCCTCTTATATTATTAATACTGACAAAGGCTTGCAATGTGTTGAAAACTGCTTAGAGTGACACAGCGAGATTACCTCTTGCTACAGTATACTATTCTTTGCTTTTTTTTTTTTCTTCATATTGTATTTATTTTTTCTTTTGCCAGCAATTCAAAATTTGCTGTTACTTTTGCACCAGCAGTAGCACCATCACCAGTGTAATCACAATCAATCATTTTGCGTCTCCATCAGCTGTAATATACTTGAAGAAAGACTGGTTTTAATCATTTTAGACTTTCTTATTACACAGGGAGTTCTTCAACTAGCCCATTGTTTTAGGTTTTGGTATTGCTGATGCCATGACAAACCATTTTGTAGGAAGCCAGGCTGATGTGATCATCCCTCTACCGTCACCATAGTTCTTGGCCTTCAGTGTCATGTGTATATGTGGTTGTTCATGAGCAAATGCATTGCTTCTCACTAGAGGTCAATGATCATTTATGAATGTGTGTGCAAGAGTGGAGACGGTAGTGTCATCTGTGATTTTTCACTAAGAATTATCTAAATGTTTAATTTTAAAGTATGTGGTTGCCCAGTCACAAAAAACGCCTTTCCCCTTTTTGGGGGAAGTCAAAAAGTAGTAAAGTTTTTTTTATAATTTCGGTATGGATGTAACCTATGCGGCCTTTAAAAGATAGCCATTTTATTTCTCTTTCTATAAAAGTTGTCCTGGGTTTTGTATGGGGAAGAAATCACTTGTTTGCCTCTATGGAAACATACTGCTTCAATTGCTTTTTAAAAAAAAAAACCCCAGCTTTGTATCGTTAACCCCATATAACGGGGAAGAATTTAAAAATATGTTTTTAAATTTGGTTTTCCTTTCCCCTTAAAAAAAAGTTTATTTGAAACCTTAAGTGGTAAATTAAAATTTTTTTTAAAAAGTATGTATAAAAAGTGTAGTCAAAATAATTAGGGAAACCCTATGTACACTTTTCCCTTTTCCCAGGTGGCGCCTTGGGGGTGAAGAGGATCTTGGTTGAGGAATTAGACATGTTGGTCTCCTTCCTGACCAAAACCCCTAATTACCCCAATGCTCCTTTCTACCCCTCCCCCCTTTTTCCTTTCCTCCTCCTCCTCCCACCCCCCCCTTTTGCCTTTGGGATTTTTCCCACAGGCGCGCTATTCCCTAGGTAGAAAGGGTCCCGGGGTCCATCCCATTCCGTTGAAGTTTTTGGGTGGTGGTGTATATTCCCGGGAATTGGTCTCCTGGGGATGCCCCGACCCCCCTCTGGTACCCCGGGGGTGGCTTTGGGTGTTTTCGGGCGCGAGTGTATCTCAAAAACCCCATTTTCGGATTCCGGGGGTGGTGGCGAAGGAGGTATGCTTTGGGGCGGATTTTGGGCCCCCCCTCTCTTTTGTCCACTGAGGTGCTCGGCAGATGTGGGGTTGCTATCCCGGTTTGCTGGTTTATGGCATAAAGGGTGGGTATGGCAGGGGTTTCCCATGCTGACTGCGCTACTTGGGGTTTGCTGGGGTCCTCTTGGAGGGGGAGATTTCTGACCCTTAATTCCCCCTAGGAACTCCCCTCCCCGGGTTTCAACCCTTTTTTTTTTTTTTTTTTTTTATTTTTTTTTTTATTTTTTTTTTTAAACCCCTTTGAGGGTCGCGGGCCCCTCTCCGAAATTTCTAGGGTCAGCCAAAATTTAAAAAAAAAAAAAATTTTTTTTCTTTATGAAAAAAAGGGGAAATTCTTTTCCGATCAAAAAGACCCCAAAAGTTGAAATTTGATAGAAAATTACGGAATTATGCTCTGCAAAGTTAGCGGTCTCGGCGATGTTTACGCATGGCGATTTTCCCCACTTTGAGCCCTTTTCGGCCAATTTACTCACTAGTCGACAAAAAACATGGAATATTTCGCTAGAACTCCATTTTTTCTATCGAAGGGTAAAAAACCACCCCTTTTATGAAATTCAACTACCCAGTACAGTGGCAAAATTTTAGAATTTTGCCAATTTCACACAAATTTCAAAAGTGCCAAATTTTCCCGAAAGGGCCAGAATAAACAAGAAAGACATTCCTGGCACTAAAATGACTTTTTCCTCGTATTGTCAGTCTCAAGGCCCCTTTTAATTTTTTTGCTTTCCTTTAAATTTTTATTCTCCAAAAAATTTTAAAGTTTTACTGTTATGCAGCTACTGCATTAGTGTAAAAAATGGTAAAAATATTTTTGGTGCATTGGAAAAAATATTAGACTCACCAGTTGACTTTTATTGCCGTTGGCACGATTTGTTTTTTTTTAAATTTTGGTAAAAATCAAAACATTTCTGCTATTGAGCTCAATTTTTAAAGGCCCCTTTCTTTGTAAAAACCAGTCAAATCATCTCAATTTTTTTTATGTCTTCATTCTAAAAAATGAGACCCAAAAAAAAACTAGAATAAACAAAAAATTCCCCACACGAAATACACTGAAAAGTCGCTGATTTTTTCCAAAAAAAATGGTAAAAGGGGGTTTTTTTTTTTTCTCATTATGCACTGTGTGCTGCAGGTTTTTTTTAGACTGTGCACACTGCCCAATAGCCCCATTTTTTCATATGAAGGCCTCCCAGCTTTCCCCCACTAGATTTGAGGCTGCTAGAATTTTTGCGTACTAGTAGTAAAAAACCCCCTACAGTAAGACGTACTAGTACGCCCAAAACCCCTAAGGGTTAAAAAAAAAAAGAAAAAAAGAAACCCTAACCATGGAGGACCGTCCATGCCCCCGCTAACCCGGGCCCCTTATTGTTCCCGCACCCTTTCGACCCGCCTCGTTTTTTGGGCCACTCTTCGGACACTCCAAAGGGCCCCTGTACCTTTGTGGTGCTGTTTTGTCCCCGCTTCGGTCCCGGGGGTTTCGATGACCCCCTTTTGATTTGTCGAAATCCGCTTTCCTTTGACTATGTTTCCCGGGCCCTCTCCTCTACGGTGTGGCTTTTTTTCAAGCCACCCTTTTGCCCCCTCGTCGGCAGATCTGGCCCCACTTCTAAAGCCGCGAAAATTTTGATGTGTTACTTCGTTTCCTTCCATTCTACTGGGGAAATGACCGACACGTATGACTCCCTCTCCACACTCGGTTTCGGACCACACAATGGACAAAAATTTTTACATTAAGCCCGCTTCTTTACGGCCTATCTTTTGCCCATAGTTTGGGCAAAGCTCTCCTACGCCACGTTGGTAGAGATTTTTCCTTTCATGCTCTTAAGAGTGGTCGTCTCATCACAGTCCGAATTCTACCCAAAACTCATGATTTTTCTCTTCTTTACATATCAATATATTCTTTCACTATCGAAAAACAACTTCCCCCAATTCTTGTATTTTGGGACTGTATTCTGCCCCCTCCATTGTCCAACAGAATTTCCAGAGTGTGGCAATGAATTTTCAAACGCTGGAACTCCAAGTCTCCCCCAAATTTTCAAGGTA